TTTTTTTTTTTTCGATTTTGCTTCTTTTACTTCTCCTTTTATTTGCGATGACTCATTTAGATTGTTTACCCCCCTCCTCCTCCCCCAAAATCCCAACTAACGAAATGGTATGAAGAAATTTTATACATCTTTTTGTCCTTCTTTTTTTCTCTTTCTCGTGCTTTAGTTTAATTTTGTATTCACAAATTTAATTCCCTTTTCTTTGACGACTGTTGTTACCTATTTTTTTCTCTTGCCTTCCGATCTTTGTACAGCTGTCATATTTCAGTATGTGTTATTTGCATAGTCGTAGTACTGTCCATTTCTTTCTTTTATAGTGCCATTACTTCAGTTTTTCAGTAAAACGACATTTTTTTTTTCTGGAAAGGGCAGGGAAGGAGGAACGACGGCAGAGGCGCAGAGAGGATATAAGGAAGATGAAAAGGCTGGAGAAAGGAAAAAAAGCATTACTGGATGTTTCAATTAATATATGTTGAGAAGAACTTTCTGTGTGTTGTTTTTTTTGGATTGTTCCAAAGATTGATTACCGGAAAATAGCTGTAAGAAAGAAATTAATGAAATATAAGAGAAGGGCAAAGAAATTAGTGGGAAACTTTATTGTCTTTTTTTATTTCTTATTTTGAAGCAAACTTTTCGATACATATCTGCTGTTGTCCATAATACTCCCCGTACTCTGTGCTGTCAGTTGACAAAATGAATCCAGAAGTATAACTTCAAATTGCCTAAAATCCTGTATAGTTTCTTTTCTTGTCGTTATTATTCTGTTCTTTTATTTTTCGTTTTATTTTTGTTGTCCGCTTTGTACAAATGGGAGATGAAAAAAGGGTGGATTATGATAAAAGGAGAGTAAAGGAGGTATAAATCAAAATCTGATAAGACACTTACTTCAGGCACATTCAATCAAACAGTTGAAGAATGACAATTCTTGTCTGTTCACTTAGCAGCTGCTTAGTCAGTTTAGCTTAGACATTCTGACAAATCATTATTAGTAGTATTATTTATTATTTGTATTCTTCTTATTATTACTATTTACTCGCCATCACATCTTTTCGCATTTTCACTCGCCGCTTCTCCGTTATTTACCGTCAAAATCTATCATATCGTTACTATCGCTTTATGTATTATTTGTAGATCAACGACGGCCGAACAGTATATTAGAGAAATAAACGTATGCACCGATACATCAGCACAAAAATTAAGCTAAGCGATTAATAAACAACAATAAACATTTGTCGTTTATTTGGCTAACAGTTTTTAAACCCAACGGAGGAGCTGTTTTAATTGTTGATCAGTCACCAGAATCTGTATGGCACATCTTAATGGTTCATTGATCGTACCGATATTTGCTGCTTAAGCTGTGCTAAAAAAAAGTATCAAAAATGCTTAGAGCATTACGTTATTAATGGAAAAATTTTTTGATCATTAAAATACTACTTTAAAACAGAAAAAGAAGAGATTTTTAGAGTATAACGTACAGACTTTTAATTTTAAATACGGAAATGATGAATGGAAAAAAAAAAGAGAGAAACGGA